CTCGCTTTGAACCTGAAATTCGAGATACCATATAACCACTAAATTGTATTTTCAAATGTGCCGCCGCAAACTGGAATATTCAGGTATACAGGGGTGGCCAAAAAAAAGAGACACTTCACTCCACATTCAAAACGGAATTATTTACGCGTTGCGAAACCAAACCAAATGATCCCAACTGAATATTGAAGAGCACGTTATAATCTATCAACAAGCTACACAACAGCCTTCTACACCGACGACATCAGAAGATTTTCCCACGGAAACATGGTTCACGGTACGAGCTCAACGAGGTCGTCGATACCATAGACCATTACGACGTCCCTGAAACGCTGGTCAAAAGCGGTTTTGCACAGTCACAGCTAATGTCTCTGGGAAGCTATTCAACAGTTAATCCATTGAAGAAATTATGTAGCAGCTTCAGGCCGGAGCGATTACGGTAAGCCTCGTTGAGCTCGACGGTGACGGCAGATGACGTCATATTCTGAAGACGGCGGGGCAGTGAAGGAGGGCCTGCTTCTGCTTACGGGGGAACACCTAAGGAATATTCCGCCGTAAAACTTTCATTAACATCGGCACCCTGTGCGACGAAAAGTTCGATGATGTGTCTCCTTTTTTGGCCACCTCTGTATAGTAGAACAGAAAATATCAACATTCATCAGAATAAATGCAAAAAATGAAGAAATGGATGCAACTAAATATAAGTGAATAACTCGAAAACGTGAAAAAAGCAACCTGCTTCACTTGTGCCTCTAATTCAGCTACGGTATTCTGGAGATCTCTTATTTGTCGTGAATGAGATTCATTAGATAAAACAACAGCATCAGCGGACGAAAGCTGAATCGTATAACTTCGTATAAGTGGGCCCTCAAACGATAATGCTTCTGTATGAAGTGAGTGGAACAACTTATGATAAGGAAAACTTACTTTACTAGCAGCAATTCCCAGCTGTGTTTGCAAGTGGTTTACTTGGGCAAGAAGGTCTCGCTCCAGTGCAAGTTTCGCATTTCGCTCCTCCATCAAGTTGTTCTCTGAATCCCATTTATATAATTCGACAACAGACTAAAAAAAAATAGATAAAAAACTTCTTCCCTGCATAGTTACAAATATGCCATTCTAAAAAAAAAGTTGGAAATGATACTACTGAAAATTTGCCAAACTGGCGCAAGAAGTATCTTTTGACTTTCGTGTTTTCAAGACCAAGGAATTGAACCGCTATCAACAGAAGCCATTATTACGTTTATTTATAATTTACGTTCCTGACATCTCTCCATTGTCTCCTGATACTTCTTAAATCTGACCCGGCGCTTCATCCGGTAGGGGCATTGGGGTGATCAAACCGTCCTATAACTGCCCTCCCCCCCACCTCCCCTTAACTGGCCTCACCCCCCCCCCCCCCCCCCCCCCCCGTACACTGGCTTCGGGTCCCGTCTTCGAGAACCTTGTGCGCACGGTGATGTAAGCGCTGGGTTGGGGTCGCCACTTGAATGCCCAGCCCCCGCCCCTTACAGGATGAGCGCCCTGACCCCCACCAACCTATCTTATCGTACTATACCATTTATGATGTTCCAATTGGTACCGGGATAGTTCAAACTTGTTAAACAGTTTAGCTATTAGGGACACCTCTCTTCAAGACCCCGACTCCCTGTTTTTTTTTATTTCATCTTTTTTTTTGTGGAGAGAAAATACAAGAAATAAAAATGAGAAAAGAGAGACCAGCCTACTTCAGCAACGCGATTTCGTCTCGCATATCGTTCTGCTCATGCTGCCGTGCAGATTTAAGTTCTATTAATTCTTCCCTCATCTGCAGACAAAGAAATTGTAATTGGTCTGCGTTTTGCGGTAGATCTATTGGTTCCGCCCTCATCTCTGCAGCTGTAGTCCTGTTTGTACCAAGGAGATCCTAAAAGGATCACATTCATATAGAAACCCGAACATGACCTTTCAATTTCGTTTCGTCAAGCATATGATTTAACTGTGCACTCTAATTGCTCAAATGTACAAATGGTAATGGTACTCGTTAAAAATGTACAAAAACAGGTGGAAACTTGAAAGTGAAATTTATTCAGATGTGGTGTAGTTGGAAGTTGTGCATTTTAATGGCTGGAGAACTCATGGTTCCGAGATTCCAGCGACGATGTAAGAAAAGGATTTCCCCCATCATCCAGCCGATTAGTTGGGTTTCACTGATCTGATAGCACTTGAACTACAAAACTCCATTTTGATGAGACGGCTTTCAGTGAGAATATGCTATAGTTTGAGTTAGACCTTTTGTAAATGCAAAATATACGAGAGACGTAGGCGGGTAATAAGAATTCAAAACAAAGAAAAACGACTAAAATTTCCTGAAGAAACCCATTATTTAAAATTTCGATTTGAACACTGCAGTCTCACAGTGAGAAGACACTGAGCGACAAGACAAGGAGTAGACGCCGAGGAGCAGGGTTTTTACCTTCAACACTAATATCGTGGAACGATGCGCTAGCCCTAGTCAAGAACATAAGAAGTGTGACTGAACAAAAAACTCACCTTGGAAAGCCGCTAGAAAGGGAGCTGAACGGCTTCGAAGTGGGCGTGGTTGCTCAGTCGGCCGCAACCACGCCCACTTCGAAGCCGTTCAGCTCCCTTTCTAGCGGCTTTCCAAGGTGAGTTTTTTGTTCAGTCACACTTCTTATGTTCTTGACTAGGGCTAGCGCATCGTTCCACACCATTAGTGTCGAAGGTAAAAACCCTGCTGGGACTGTTGCTTCAACACGAATTGAGAAACATCAAGGACAACGTTCCAGAAATCTTTCATATCGGATCTACATCCATTTGTATGTTTCTGGCCGTTTTGTGGTTGTTTTTTGTTAGCGCGCAGACAAGCTGCGTCACCACTTTAGCTGTTTGAGGTTAAAGGCGACGTGTTTTTATGAAGAATAAAGAAGTACCTGGTACTTAGCTGCGATTTGCTTCATATCTTCTTCATATCCAGAACAAACACGATTGACATCCTGTAGCTGCTCAGAACACTTCTCCATTCCTGACTTCTGCTTCTCAAGGAGTTCGTTAACTCGCTCTTCAATTTTCGCATTGGTAGAAGCTGCACATTTCAACTCGTCATTGAAATGTGCAGCTAGCTGAAATCATTACGGTCTTTGTGCGGTTTTAAAATCTTTATTATAGACCTAGAAAACAGTATGGCAGCAGGTGAGATATCAACATAAATAACCTAAGCCATGAAAGTCGAGTAATATAAAAAAGAACATTCTAGTTGTTTTTTGAATTTCACTGTGTAATTAGAAGCTTTGACTTCCCTTCCGAATAAAAAGGCCTCTAGTACTAAGAAATGTTGAAATTCCAAACCTCGCTCATTTTCTTCTCGACGTCCACCCTGTACTTTCTTTCTGTCGCAAGTTCGACCTCATATCGATCTGCTAAAGACTTTGCTGCTCTGAGCTTCTCCCTCGCTTTCCTTTCGTTCTCCTTAAACGTACGTAGATGACCAAAGGAAACGTACGGAAATGGTCAAACTTGGAGAGAACTCTGCTAAAAGGTACACCAAATCAATCACCTGAATCAATGTTAGGTTAACTTCATAGTTCTGACACATTTCACAAGTAAGAGCGGAATTAGGCGATACTTGAGCAGAACGAGCCCCCGAGCCTCCATTCTAAACTCTGATATAATTTTCACTGAATAGCAGGACGACATTCAATCTTTACATGTGTGAAATTGTGTCAACAAACCTTCACTACTCCATCTTCAATGACGTCACAATCCGGTTTAACTTCTGAAGATCCCTCCTCCATTACTCAGCTGAAAGAGGACACGATGGATCCCCAACAAAACTTGCCCCAGAGAAGAATAATAAATTCATGAGAAACATACAGGCTCATGATGGCCTCATGATCACATGTTTGGTCTCTCTCGCAAATGTGTGCAATCTAGTTTAGGAAGTTTTTTCAAAAACAACTCACCAACTTTTTAAGCAATACCTAACTGCGCTCCCCTCGTAACTGAAAATCACTACCATCTTTGATGCAGCACTAAGGCTCTCTGCAGAAATAATCAAAAATATATGAGAAAGTAACAAGAAGAGGCAAATTGTATAAATTGCTCTGATTGGAAATCAAGCATAATATCACATCTGAAATGCTTTGTGCCAATGCCATGAAACATGTCAGCAGAACCACCGAGATAGTACAACTAATTAGGCAAGCATCTATCACTTCTGACAGAGCATAGGACGTCCGGAACAAGGATGACTCATCCCTCAGCCGCTTCACTTTTCAGAAATGGTCACAAAGATCAGAAACACTAGTCATAAGTGGCTGCATCTTCATATCGCAGTTTCAGCGAGTCGCGCTTTATGAAACACCCTCAATCATAGCATCGATAAAACCAGAGGTGCAGAATGAAATCTTGATAATACCTGCATGGCTACTACATTTGAACCCCTATTTATACATTTCTTCTCCTAGGTGAGACGCAGAACACTTTTCACCCCAATATTAGCACTATCTGTGTCAATGTAAAGGACTTTTCACCAAGGCAATGAGTTACTGATGAAGATATTGACTAAGATGCTCACGCAGAACGAGACGTACGTAATCCTAAAACTCTAAGAAGGGTGAAAATCCTTCTATTTTATAAAGCGCTAACTTTGTGTGTCGGTTTGTATGTCTGTATGTGTGTATGTATGTCCGTCCGCAAAATGAAGTGAGTGAGAAGGAAGCTCATGGGATAAACAAACCGCTAACAAATCGGGTAGCTTACAGGATTTGAGATATCAATGTTTTGCAATGGATAGATTGTGATAACACCCCAACGGCTATATAAACACCTACTGAGGTCACTTCCAGTTATTTCACATGGTGCTACAGCCGCTGGAGGGCAGTGGGGGAAAGGAGGAAGAAAACCAATCACCTACAGACCTAAGGTTGGTTAGGTTTTGATGTCATTCCAAGACGTAAAGCGTACACAGGGAAAGGAAGTCCCGGCGATTGACGGGGGACCTAACCTGGTACTTTAAATAAAGTAATAAATGATGATAAAAACAAGTTCATCCGTTTGGTTTCCTCTTTTGCACTTAACACCAACGGAATGAACATTCAAGCAAACTGGTCATGTGCGATGAAAACTGTTGACCACCTACATATATACATTAAATGGGAAGACAGAGAAACTTTAAAGGACTTTTCGTCCCCCAACCCCTTCGGGGAGGATAGCATACGGCCCCTGATCGCCAGTTACAGCGCCAAGACGAACACAATAGGAGTGGAATGATTCATTAGACCATCAACACTCTTATATACCATCTCATTCACATCATTCCTATCATTCCTATCTCCCGTGATCCTCTTCCATTCCTCGCTTCCGCACGTTCTCACCCTTCACCCCCTTACAAATACACAGAATTCTGAAACTTTGATTCTCTTTATAATTTCATCTCAAGCACATTCGTTTACAATGCACTTTGAGCGCACACAAGTAAATATATGAATTTGGAAGAAAGCAACCATTCCTGAACTCAATGGCGAGCATAATAATCATAAGAAGACGACAGGATTTTTCTGAACGCAGTGGATGATTCAGGGAGAAAAAACTGCACTAGTTTACACACCTAATCAATGAATGCAAAAGGAGAAAAGGTTTTTTACAGCTCACGATTTTATCTTATCTTTCATTCACCCTAAGCTTGGTGCTTGACGCCTAAATATTCGCGCATGTTTCAACTCAAAATAAAATATTCAAAACGTGACGAATCGGGAATGAGAAGCCACTCCGTCTATTGGATCAACATTCCCATGAACATAATCAAGGTCGATACTCACCTTTCTTTTCCCTCCTTCGCAGCTTTGACTGACCAGTATCTGCCTTCAAAAATATGCAATCAAAACGATTGATCATAAATCAGAAAAGTAAACAAAAGGCACGGGAAATTACAAACGGATTCTACTCCATGTTACTGAGAGTAAATACAGCTCTAAATCCGTCTTCTCATAATGCCAAAACACCCACTAAATGGTTTTATGCCCGCCAAGGAGGTTTGCAAATGCGGTTGTTTACAAATGATGTCAGTAGATAGTCAATCAACGTGGAAAAAAGTTCTTGTATGTAATTGGTAATAAAACTTGTGTATTACTGTAAGTCTGCATTTAGTACGTAGGCACACATGAAACGCTTGACGGAATTATGCACACACCTTGGGACAGTAGTCCACGTGCTCCTCACTTTTTGCACTGTGTGTGGCGCTCTTGCGGTCTCGTAGGCTATTCTCATTGTTTAACTAATTCATTTCTAGATCTCTGGTGCTCTGATACATCTTCTGTACCCTATTCTTGAGTAAATTAGATCGTTATGAAGGAAGTGTCTGACGTATACGGTTGCAAGACCGTTCCAGAACAACTTAATGTTTGAGTGAATCGGAGGACTCAGACGGCTAGACGGTTTGCACCAGCTGGCCTGCGAGAATTCGGCTGTTGTTTCGTTCGACCGTGGTCGTCTCCCATCGTCCTCTTTCACCTTCTCTGTGCAATGTGTCGTTTTAAGCGTTCATAGAGTTGTTCTTCCGTCGAGCGTATTGAACAATTATACGCGCCCACGGCACCCTTTTCTTGCTGGAACGATGCTGTTAGACCTGATATACCGCCTACCTAAATCATTTTCTTGAGATTTCTCCTATCACTTGCATAAAGTGATGAAACAAAAGAGCTCTAGGCTGAAAAAGCCTGATGTACATACTTGACGTGACGTCCTTTGTTGAAATCTCGGTATTGTGCATGCCGATTTTTTTGTGTTCTTCTACATACCAATTGATGAAATTCCTATCTAATCTGGCAATTTCATTGGACGAAACCCGATTCCGTGATTGTTCTTTGGGCGGTGTTCTGACAATGAGTCGGGCTCACATCCACATCAAACTAGTATTACGCAACTAACGGAACTGTTCCACTGACTTCCGTGGCAATAAAAACCCGGCGAAGGTTTCTTTGGATCTGAAAACATTTGAGAAGTGCGTCGTCCATTCTGATTTGAACCAACGGTCCAAATTGCTTAACTTTTCAATAACAAATGAATTTCTTTGGGATAAGTCGGATGCAG